TAATTCCCTCAATATAAAGAGCCATCTTCCCACTTCCTTCCTGAATTCCTCATTTACATTTGTCCTTCTTATTGCCCCTCTGTTTGGGGGGAAATTTTGCTCTCTTAGTGTCATATGATTGATTTTACTGAAAAGTATGTTTTTCCCTGATGCTATTTTCCAATTTGTAGGCCTGTCTGTTGTTTGACCAAAAGTCAGTGTCTATGGGTTGGGTTTCATTTCGGACTTGAAGGGCTTGTAGAGGTCTTGGTCTCAAGGTTTCCACCAGTCTCTATAAGACAAGTAAGTCTGGCATTTAACATTCTTTAAATCTTTTTCCTCCATTTTATTTTTATCTCACTCTACCCAGAACCATCCATTGTGATCCTGATTAGAGAGCAACATCTGTCAGGAGTGGGGAGATATTGGAACACTCATAACTGTGAGTGGGTTCTTCGCTTTTGGTTTTCAAACTCTAGATCTTTGCACATTTCATTATAATATTTGACTTTGTCTTCTAGAACTGTCCTTTGAAATTTTCTATTCAGTTCTTAGCTACTCAATGATTAAGAACAAGTTTCAGTGTTTCTTCTGAAATCCATGCTGATTTTTCCTGTCTTTCCTGTCTTCAATGGCTTTTTGCTTTCCTCGTGAATAATGTTCTTGATGTTCTCCCACAGCCCATTAGTGTTCAATGCACCAAATCTGTCCTTGAGATGTTCTTAAAATTCAAGTGGGGTAAACTCATAAGTAGATCAATACACAACATCATGATCAATGGAGAAAAGGCTGACATTGTCAAGGGTCAACACTCATAGAAGCAGCAGTCAAGGAACCAAATGCATTGCATGGGGGAAACGTGCTGCAAAAGATCCCTCTAAAGTGCTGTCACTTAAAAGCAAAGATGTCACATGGGGTATTAAAATGAACCTGATCCGCAAATGTGGTGAAGAAAGCTGATGGTGCCCGGCTACCAAAAGATATAGTGTCTGGGGTCTTAAAAGCTTGAAGGTAAACAAGCGGCCATCTAGCTCAGAAGCAACAAAGCCCACATGGAACAACATATCAACCGGTGTGATCACGGGGTGTCGAACGGATCACTGAAGACAAATGGGTGCATAAGCAAATGTGGTGAAGAAAGCTGATGGTGCCCGGCTATCAAAAAGTATAGCGTCTGGGGTCTTAAAGGCTTGAAGGTAATCAAGCGGCCATCAAGCTCAGAAGCAACAAAGCCCACATGGAAGAAGCACACCAGCGTATGCAACCACGAGGTGTCGAAGGGATCAGGTGTAAGGCATCATCAGAACAAATAATCTTACCATAGTGAATGATGGGGGGAGTGCGGAGTGGAGATCCAAAGCCCGTTAGTAGGCCACTGGAGATCCCCTTGCAGAGGGGTCTCGGGCAGGAGATGAGCCAGACAGGGTGCAATGTAGCGATGATGAGAAATACAACTTTCCTCTAGTTCCTAAATGTTTCCTCCCCGCTCCCACTACCATGACTCGAATTCTATCTCCCAGGACTGGCTAGACCAGAGGAGGTACACTGGTATAGATGGGAACTGGAAATACAGGGAATCCGGGACGGATGAGCCCTATAGGACCAGTGGTGTGAGTGGCAAAACAGGGAGGGTAAAGGGAGAATGGGTAGGAAGGAGGGAACCGATTACATGGAACTGTGTGTGACCTCCTCCCTGGGGGACAGACAACCAAAAAGTGGATGAAGGGAGACGTCGGACAGGGCAAGATATGACAAAATACCCATTTATAAACTATCAAGGGCTCATGCGGGAGGGGGGAGCGGGGAGGGAGGGGAAAAATGAGGACCTAATGTCGGGGGTTTCAGTGGAGAGAAAATGCTTTGAGAAACGATGTACAAATGCGCTTTACACAATTGATGTGTGTATGGATTGGGATAACAGTTGTATGAGCCCCTAATAAAATGTTTTTAAAAAAAAATGAACCTGATCCAAGACATGGTATTCTCAATCATCTCATATTCATGTGAAAGATGGACAAACTAAGGAAGACTACATAAGGATGGATGCATTTGAATTAAGGCTCAAAGAACATTGAATATACCATGGGTTGAAGGAAGAATGAACTGGAAATAAGCACAGCCAGAACGCTACTTAAAAGTGAGGGTGGCAAGATTTCTTCTCACGCGCTTTGGACATATTGTCAGGAGGGAGCAAACCCTGCAGAAGAGCATCATGCTTGATAAATTATCGGGTCAGTGGAAAGGAGAGAACTTCTCAGTTAGATGAACTAATACAATGGCTGTAGCAATGAGCTCCACCAAGATAGCAGGACTAGGGCGTTTCATTCTGTTGTGTGTAGACACACTATGAGTTGGAGTCAACCAATGGCACCCAGTAAGCTAACAATCACAGAAATGTTAAGGAAAGATGGCTGAGTTTAACATGTAGTGTTCTGTGACCATTTGAGATTGTGACCATAAATGTAGGCTGAGCCAGGACAGTTTATGTCTTTCTGCAACCATGTGTTAGATGGCCTATAGTTTCTAAAGCCAGACACTTCATTCTAAGGGGAAGGTCTTACAGATAATGCAAAAGATGGATAAAGAAGTAGGGAAGTTAAGGTTGGATACAAAAGAGTCATTACAGGCATCAACCATTTAATCCACACTGACTCCAAAAAGGAAAAAAATAAGAGTCAAGGCATGGAGTGACCAATGTTTAGAAAGGATCAGTTATGAAAGTGTTGAAGATGTCAAACATGATGAAAGGAACAGAGATATTGCAGAGTAAAAATTGTTTAATTAGATTAAAATACTATAAAATCAGAGTGCTCGATTTTAGAACATTATAATTCCTGACTGGCATTTCAAACTGTGTTCATTAGCTTATTAATGAAATATATCGGATGTGGAGAAGTCCCTGGTTGAGCTTATGTATTTTATATCCATTGAAAACCAGTCTTCCTAAGGAGTTGGTGGGCTGATATTGGTTGCTCAATTTGCATAAATCCAGTTGGATGGGGGAAAGGAGGCTGTTATGAATTCAATTATATTCCCCAAAAAGATATGCTGAAGTTTTAACCTCTGGTACCTATGAAGGTGATCTTATTTGGAAATAGAGTCTTCGCAAATGTAATTTTTTTTACATGAGGTCATACTGGAGCACCCTAATCCAGTATAACTGATGTCCATATCACAAGAGAGAAAACAGCACAAAGCTATAAAAGGAAAACAGAGTCAGGGGGCGCTGTGAAGACAGATGCAGATACTGGCGTCCCATCACCCTCTGCCATCAAGTCCTTTCTGGCTAGAGGCAGTAAATCTTCCTGGGAGCAGGCAGTTTTCTCCCACAGAATCGCTGGTGGGTTTGAACTGCTGGGCCACCTGGGATTGGAGTTATGGTGCCATAAACACAGGTATATATGGGGTTAGGAAAAGGCAAGGAAGGATCTTTTCCTAGAACTTCAGAGGAAGGAAGGGTGGTTGACACCTTGAAGTTGAACTTCTAACCTCCAGAATGTGAGAAAACAAATTTCCCTTGTTTTTAGTCGTCCAAGTTTGTGGTAATTTATTACGGCAGCCCTAGGAAACTAACAATGGAACTAAGGTAGAAAAGTTCTGCAAAGAACCCTAGAGAACAGAGGAAGGTGGGGTCAGCATGATGGTATCTGCTTCCCTTCCAGGCCACATGAACTTTGACCTGTGTCCTCTGCAGAAAAACATTTCAGGAAGAGGCGTAAGACCCTATTTTCAAAATAGGCTCTGTGAGGTTTGAAGCCACAACAGCATTAATTTCACACCCAGCAGATTTTAAAAATTACAGCACAGGGATATCTCCCCATCTCAGCAGTATTCCTAGTGTGGAGCTGGCTCAATCAAGATTGCAAGGAATATGGTATTCCATTATCCACAAAGGAGCACTGGGAGCTATCAGTGTAGGCTTGGCGGTACCAACACCAGCAACAACTACAGGTGGAAGATACCACCTTCTAGTCGAATTCCCAGGAGCAGATCAACACAGAGATCCAAGTAAGAAAAGCATGAAAGAACTTATGTGAGGTCCCATAAACCTGCAGAAAGTTTCTCAGGAATGGGAAACAATTAAAATGGAATGATTTAAGGTGGACCAGATGAGGAAGCACAACCCAGTACAACTCTATTGCTCTTCATAGGTCTGATAAAATTTATACATTTAAAAAAAATACAAATAACCCCCCATTGAGTAGACTCACTGATCGATTTTTCAGAAGTAGACCAAAGGCCTGTTTTCTGAAGCACCTCTAGATGGACTCGAACTTCCAAACTTCCAGCTAACAGGGCAGCACACTAATTATTTTCACCACCAGGCACTTAATAAACCACAGACTTCTATTAACTTAGAAAAATTAAGTATGCCCAAGTTTAAGCTATTCTGTTCTAAAACATGAATGGAACAATTGGCCCCACAATGGTAGACACCTGAAAAATAGAAGGAAAGAAAAGACTCTATTTGTTTTATTTAATGCATAGGAAGGAATCACCAGTATATGTACTACGTATTCCAGCCTAACGTAAGACAGGAAAATGTGTACTACCTGGTTTTGTTTTTATAAAGTTCAAAAGCAGGTAGCATGGACCATGCTCTTGGATGTTAGGCTAGGGATAATCCTTCATGTGGGTAAGGGAAGTACAATGGGATTTTATAATGTTCCGGTCTTTTACTGGGTGTAAGTTATATGGGTGTCTACAATGTGTTCACTTCAAGCTGTTCAGTTATGATTTGTGTACTTTCTAATTTGCATATTAGACTTCAATAAATGTTTTTTAAACAAAGCTTCTAAGAAAGAAATAATAAATACAAAGAAAAAATCCTGAAGACAAGGCATGTAATTAGGTCATTTTCATGTTCAAGACAATGAGGATCTTTGAATAAAGAGAAAAAACACAAGAAACACAGGCACACTGATTATAATATAATTATAAACACAGGCAAAAGACCTTGTTTTAATGAGAAAATGCAACCAAAAAGCCACTGGGTTCCTGGTGGAAATCGGTAGTAGTCTTCATGACAGTGTCCCAATTTGTACAGACACATATCTTTTATTGATGCAGCACAGATGTGTAGTATCACACAAAATATGAAAGATTTCATTTTTGTAACAATGTCTCTTGCAAATACCTTTTGTTCGCCAGCATGTACTAAAGAACTTTCTTATGTAAATATTTGGTCCACTTCTCACTGTCAGCAGATACAAAAGAGAAGAAAGGGGAAAGAAGTACAATTAGTGCCCTGCAGGGTGTGTTGCCATGCATAAATTAGATTGAACGATATACTTTCCAACATTTTGAAGACAAATTAGACAGAACAAAGATATCCTGAACTTGATGGCTGGCCCTTTTCCAGCTGCTGTTACTTACTCTTCAAGGACCATGCCTCTAGCTCCTCTGGTCCCCACCCAGGTGAGTCAGTAAACAACGATATGCATGTAATACATCCCGCTGGAGACTGTGCTATGCAAAGAACTATTCAGAACTCAGAATGATCCCCGAAGTCTGCGGAGGCCATCAGGAGGCATACAGTGTCTGGGATCATTAATTTGTGATTACCAAAATGCCAACTTGAAGAACAAGAGCCCTGAAATAGAATTGTCCAAACGTTGCCCTGCATTCCCAATAGCATGTTCTCTGACTTTTTGGAAGCACCTTACAGCCTGCCTTAATCATAGGCTAACCGAAAAGGCCTCATGAAACAATGCTGGAGGGGGGAGCGGGGAGGGAGGGGAAAAATGAGGACCTAATGTCGGGGGGTTTAAATGGAGAGAAAATGTTTTGAGAAACTATGTACAAATACGCTTTACACAATTGATGTGTGTATGGATTGGGACAACAGTTGTATGAGCCCCTAATAAAATGTTTAAAAAATAAAAATAAAAAAATTAAATACATAGAACATAGACCTAAATCTACTACTAGGATTTTATCTCACCATAAGACTGTGAGATCCCTGGATCTGGGAGCTAAAGAGGAGATGCAGGAGGCACTTAAAAGGGTGAAAGTAGCTCTGAGTCATCCTACTGAATCAGCCACACTCAGGCCCTTCTCAGTAACTACCCTATGGGACTATGTGTTGGGTTTTTGTGATGTGAGAATAATCCATATGGTATGACCATTAGTAAAGAAAACTTTCCCGCCTTGTGCCCATCAGCCCTGGGACACCTCTATGGAGGCCAAGGAACCTAGTGGAAACACAGTGCAAAGTGTCCCGAGATACTGCCGTCCAGATCCTCAATTGTATCTCTGAGGTTTTCACTGTCTCCTGCTTGACCTTGTGAAACCTTCTGTGGTAGGAAATAAGATCTTTCTGTAATTCCCAGAAAATCACAAGCAGAACAATTATAAGAACTTCCGCGTTAATGGACCCTTCTCTGTATTATCAAGCCGCTCACTTCTGTCCAGAGAAGATAAATTCTAATCCCTCAAAGTACTATTTCAGAGGGTCCCACCCTGTGTTGATTAAATACAGTATAACAAGCAGCTCTGCTTTAGGGTTCAACTCAGCATTAAATTTGCCTTGACTTCTTGTAAAAGTATACAAAATCACATGGGTCTCTGACAAGAGAGGGCAAGTTCCCAAAGTCCATCCTCTCCTCAAAATCCTCTCCTTCCCTCCTTGCTCTGCCAAACTTCTGCCAATGCCACTTGTTCAACTTTCCCTGAAAAGTCACAGGCTCCACAGGTCAAAGTCCAAACCAGTCTCTGCTCTAAATGACATCACTGCCTATTATGTGTCTTGAGCATCTTCTACTCATTCCCTCAAGCAGACCCTGCCCCACCCAAAAAATGCATTTCTGCTCTGAGCCCTCCTAGTTCAGCTTCTTCTGCCCAAGTCCCACAACTTCTTTTCAGCCTTGCATCCCTTTCCCTTAACTGTTCAAAATCCCACAGACAAGGGGATTCCATTTTACCTGGTGGAATTTGGGAGAGCAAGACAAGAATCACAAGGACCAAGAGTAAGCTCTTCATGGTGGAACCAATCAGCCAAGAGACAACTGAGAATCTCAGGCCAGTCACTCAAGACGTAGCTCTGGAGAGATGGGCAGCTGGCTAGTGAACCTTTCAAGAACAGGAACACTTGCTTGCTCCACTGAGCAGTCCAATAAACTAAAGCTCTGCCTCTGAATGTGACACCTCCCAACCGAAGTCCCCTTACTAGGTGCCAACACTGCCAATTTCAATTATATTATGGGAATATTATGATAGGGTGCTGGCCAGACTTCATGGCACACCAGTTTGACAAATGCCTATAGTGGGCCGAAAACTACAAGACTAATTTACAGAATAGATGAAGGGTTTTCGATCATCGTTTTGAGTTTCACAAGAAAAAGCAAAAAAAGGCGGGGGGACAGAGCAGATTTTATCCTCCCCGGGTTAAAAGCAGGGAACATGAACATGTTCAAGGGAGATAAATGATCCCCACAAGCTAGCACATATCACAAAAGGCAGCAACAGAGCGCACCCATATTTTCCTGACTCCTCCATCCAGAAGTGCTTCCTTCAAGGCTGGCTGGAGGCTCAGCCCATTCACCTCTTGGGGTACCTGCCTTCCCCTCTCATGCATCCTTTCCCTCTCTCGTGCACTCGGTGTTCAGTAGTGTACTTTTCTTCTCCCAGACATGGGGCACAGGCTCTGAGGGCCATGGTCCTTTTGGCCTTAGCTCATGAGTTCTTTATAAGGAGTTGGGGAGCGGAAAATAGTAATCAAGCTGAGGGAGGGGCTGATATTAGGCTGGGTGAAAGGGCTGCGGGCTGCCCAGCTTTCTGCCAAGAAAGTCTGTCCCTGATATTAAAGTTGATATTGCCAATTAGGTTATATTTCAGAGAGGGGCCCTGGTGGCATACTGGTTACTCACTAGGCGGCTAACCACAAGGTCAGTAGTTCAAAACCACCAGGCATTCTGAGAAAGAAAAAACAAGACTTTCTACTCCCGTATGAAGTTAACAGTCTCAGAACCTGGCAGGGGCAGTTCTACCCTGTCCTCTAAGATCACAATGAGTCAGTATCAACTTGATGGTAGTGAGTTTGATTTTAGTTTGGTTGCATTTCAGATCATCATTTTGTATTTAACAATTTAAACAACTCACCAAACCTCCCAATAGCTTGCCCTGTCACCCTTCTTATTTTCTCTTCTCCCTCTTGTAGAATGTAATCTTCCCCTTCACCTTAGTTAACTCCTCTCTACCCTCTAGTTTGTTGCTTCCCCTTCTTGCCCTGTCTCTCCCATCCCTGGTAACCATCAAAGTCCTTTTCTTTTCCTGAGAAAACTTTTACCTTGTAAGGTAGTTAGTTTATTGTGCCAACCTGACCGATAAACACATGTGGAGTTAATTGAAGGGCGGAGGGATAAATGGCTTGGTGAGCCTCGCCTTTCCAGTTCTCGGGTCTCTTGCTTTCAGATGGTCGGACCAGGGTGCAGCTGGCTGATCCAGTTTCTTGCTTCAGCTGGAAAGGCTCATTTCCTGCAAGACATCCCAGAGGAGAAGCCACATGGACCTACCCTGATGCAGCCCTGGGTGCTGGAGCAGCCATGTGGAGACCCCTGCCAGCGCTGAGATGCTTATACATTCACTGACTCAGCTTTCCTCCTGCAGTCAGCATCATTGTGTCTGTTTTGTGAGATGGAGGAGGACTTTGGGGATTGGTGTTGGACATATGGGTTAATGGCTAAATGTTGGACTTGTGGGCTTGGGCAGTACTGGGTTGGGATGTTTTCTTGATGTGCACTTAACCTTTATATAAAACTCTCTCTTATACATGAGTTTCTGCGGATTTGTTTCTCTAACGTGCCTAGACGAATATACCTTGTAACAATGGTCTTATATAAAATTTAACCTTTTGTGATTGACTGACTTCACTGGCCATAATATCCTCCAAATCGATCTCTGTCGTGCGGTATTTCAGAGTTTCATCATTAATCTTTAGTACATGTAGTATTCTATTGTGTGTATGGACTAATGTTTATTCATCTATTCTACTTATGGGCATTTAGATGTTTCCGTCTTCTTGCTATTGTAAACAATGCTGAGATAAATGTGGATGTGCATATACCAGTCCTTGGTGCATAATGGGTGAAGGGACTGCTGTGTCAAACAGCATCGCTATTCGCAGAGTTTGAGGAAGCATCATACTGAGTTCCACAGTGGTTGTACCATTGTATAATCCCACCAGCAGTGTGTGAGGTTTCCAATCGCTCTGAAAAGCTCTTTCTGTTTTAACTTTGTTCTCAATGCATTGAATCTGGTAAATGTGCTGCACAAGACCTCTTTAAAATATTGAAAAACAAAGGTGTTACTTTGGGGGCTAAGATGTCCCTGATCCAACCCATGGTATGTTAATTGGCCTCATCTGCACATTGAGAGTTGGAAATTGAATAAGGAAAACTGAGAAGGAATTGATGCGCTTGAATTATGGGACTGCCAACGAATATTACAAGTACCACCGACTGCCAAAACAACAAACAAACCTGTCTTGGAAGAAGTACAGTCAGGAGCTCCTTAGAAGCAAGGATGGTGAGACTTCCACTTACATACTTTGAACGCATGTTGTCAGGAGAGACCATTCCCTGAAGGATGTCATGCTTGGTAAAGTAACAGGGCAGTGAAAAAGAGGAAGGCCTTCCACCAGATGGACGGACACAGTGGTTGAATAGATGAGCTCAAACATAACAATTGTGAGGCTGGCACAACATGGGCAGTGTTTCATTCTGCTGTTCATGGGGTTGCTATGAGTCAGAACCCATGGATGGCACCGCACAGCAGCAGCATCCATGCTGGTGTGAGGTGGTATCTCAGCATTGTTTTGATCTGCATCTCTAGAATGGCCAGTGATTATGAGCATCGTTCATTTGTTGGCTTCCTGGATGCTCCCTTTAATGAATTTTCTGCTTAAGTCTTCTATCCACTTTTTAACTGGATTATTTGTCTTTTTCATGTTGAGGTATTGCAGGTTTCTATAGATTTTAGAGATTAGTCCTTTGTCCAATATATCATTGCCAAAACAATGTTAGCAGTCTGCACTTTCTCTTTTTACAAAAGACTCTTGAGGTGCACAGCTACCAGCATCTGTCAACCGAGACTCCAATCATTCTTTGATGCTGAATAGGTTCTAGTTGAGCATACAGACTAACACAAACTAGAAAGAAAGTCCTGGCAATCAACTTCTGAAAATCAGACAGTAAAATCCCAATGGACACAACTTCTCACTCCTGTTAGCCTGGGGTCACTGTACGTCAAAGAAGACCCAACAGCAACTAACAACAGCAGACGGATATGACTGTTAGGTGCTGTCCTACGCATAGCGGCCCCTGCTTACAACAGAACAAAAACCGCCTGGCCCTGCTCCATCATCAACATAATTGTTGTTATGTTGGACGCCATCATTGCGGCCATTGCGGCAATCCAGCTGGTGAAGGGTCCTCCTCCTTTTCCTTGCCCCTCTATTTTACCAGCATGATGTTCTTTCCCAAAGATTGCGCCCTCTTGAAAATGTGTCCCAAGTACCTGAGATGAGGTCTCTCCATCCTTGCCTCTAAGGAGCATCCTGTCTGTATTACTTCCAAGACAAATTTGTTTGTTCTTTTGGCAGTCTACGGTACTTCCAAAATTCTTCGCCAACACCATAGTTCAAAGGAATAGATCTTTCTTCAAACTTCCTTATTCAATGTCCAACTTTCGCATGTACGTGAGGTGATGGAAAATACCATGGTGGGCATACCTTCCTCCTTAAAACAACATCCTTGTTTTACAACACTGAACAGGGGCTGTGCAGCCGATTTACTCAATGCAATGCGTCATTAAGCTGCTGTTTCCATGAGCACTGATTGTGGATCCGAGCCAGACAAAATCTTTGGCAACTTCAATTTTTCCTCCATTGGTCGCGATCTTACCTACTGGTCTGGTTACGAGGATATTTGTTTCCTTTGCATTGAGTTACAATCGCTACTGAAGACTGGAATCCTTAATCCTCTTCAGCAAGGACTTCAAGTTCTCCTCACGTTCAGCAACCAAGATTGTCTCATCTGTTTTTCACAGATTGATAATAAGCCTTCCTCCAATCCTGATGCCACATTCTTCTTCATATAATCCAGCTTCTCTGATTAGGTATTTAGAATAAATAACTATGGTGAGATGATACAACCTTGACATAACGCTTTTCTTATTTTAAAACATGTTGCATGTTTCATCAGCTTGTTGGGACATTTCAATTGGTAGTCCATCAATTCTGGAAGCCTTGTTTTTGGCTACTGTTTTCAGTGCAGCTTGGACTTCTTCTTTCAGTACCCTTGGATCTTGTTCATATGCTACCTCCAGAAATGGTGGGATGTCACCTAGGTGTGGGGGTTTTTTGGCACAATGACTCTATATATTCTTTCCATCTTCCATGCTTCCTGTATCATTTAATATTTTGTCCGTAGAATCTCTCAATATTGCAATGGGAGGCTTAAATCTTTTCTTGGGTTCTTTCCGTTTAAGATATGCTGCATGTGTTTTTCCCTCTGGGTTTTTAATGCGAGGTCTTTGCACACTTGATTATAATATTTGACTTTATCTTCTTGAGCTGCACTTTGAAAGTTCCTATTCTGCTCTTTGACTTAATTATTTCTTCTATGTGCATTAGCTAGTCTATGATTACGAGCAAGTTTCAATCTCTTTTGACATTCACTTTGATCTTTTCTTTTGTTCTTGTCTTTATAATGACCTTTTTCTTTCTTCACATACGATGTTCTTGACGTAATCCCACATCTGATCAGGTCTTAATGCATCAAATCTGTTTTGAGTTGTTCTCAAAATTCAGTGGGTTAGTCTCAAAGTTGTATTTTCATTTGTTTTTATTTTCTACAACAACAACTTGACCCTATATATGAGCAATAGATAGTCTGTCCCACAGTCAGCCCTGGCCTGATTTTAGCTGCTGACAGTGGGCTTCTCCATTCTCTTCCCACAGATGTAGTCAATCTGGTTTCTGT